AATAATAAATAAATGGGGGCGTGTTCGAAAAAACGGTCGGACACGTCGATTAGTATTTTTAGTTGCGCATTTCTTTTTCAACAAAAACTTTTTATACAGGGTGTGTCATGTAACAGTGGTCAATACCAACTTTCTTATTTTAAATGCAACACCCTGTATATTATCCAATTTTTTGATTCTTCAGAAAATTCTAGACATATTTCATATACAATGTCCTATACCTATCTTCAACTGTTTCGGACATATTAAGTATTTTCAGATTTATTGCACAAATTAATATTAAAAAAATTAAAATTATTTGATTACAGAAATTCGCTATAACTGACTCAATACTTATTTCCCATTTAGCTCTTGATAATGAGAAAGTAAGCAAAAATCATCTCAGCGTTCCTTTTTACTGTTATGAAATAAAACAAAACTATAAATGGTTTGGTTTATTTTTGTTTAAAACGCCTGGCCTTAGCAACGTGTTGTCTACCTGCATGACAGTAGTTGTCAGTGTTATAGTCGTTTGAATTTGGTTAACTGCATATCAGAAATTTAACAGAAATGCACAAAATAACAATTCTACAGATGATTGGTTATGGAGATAACACATGGACACAAATGGAAGTTGTTGGCTTATTTCATGAAAGATTTTCTAATTTGCCGCCTATATCCCAAGGGACAATTAGTAAAATAGAAAAGCAGTTTCGCGAGCTTGGATATGTAAACAGCTAAACATTTCATTTGTACAATTTTCCTTTTCCATTTTATGAATTTTTGTAAATTTATTTCTTTTAAATTGTTTTTATATGATGTAGATGTAAGAATTTCACTTTTCGGTGCTTGTCTTTTACTTGTATAGGTATTTCATTCTATTTTATTGTAGTGTGATTGAAAGTACCTCTAAAATTTTACTATAATAATTATGTTACCATACTTTTTTTATTTTACTGGTAATATTAAGTTGTTTGGGTTTGGACATTCTGCGTTGCTCATCATTTTGAAACTTCTATAATTTTTTTGGAATCTTGGTACGGCTAAAGTACAAACTTGGTTAGTTTAATAACTGAACTGAGTTTAGTAACTGAACCTTCGGTTATTTTGATACTAAACGTATATTCCACAATATTAGCAGATACTTTATAAACTAGATAACCCACTCGCTTGGCTAATTTACTTGAAATAATCAAATAAACTAAAATTCTACTATTACTTTTCTTTGGTTAGTTTATAAACTATACTCCGCGGTCGAAATTATAGAGANTTTTACCGTACGTAATAGGAATCTTACATTGATCGCAGATGGTGTGTTTTTAAGTATTTACAGTAGTGGTCGTAGGTAAAATATATTTTATACGTATACAGTGTGTATCAGCCAAATGGAATAAATTCAATAATAAAAAAATGGGGACGTGTTCGAAAAAACGGTCGGACACGTCGATTAGTATTTTTAGTTCTTTTTCAACAAAAACCTTTTATACAGGGTGTGACATGTAACAGTGGTCAATACCAACTTTCTTATTTTAAATGCAACACCCTGTATATTATTCAATTTTTTGATTCTTCAGAAAATTCTAGACATATTTCATATACAATGTCCTATACCTATCTTCAACTGTTTCGGGCATATTAAGTGTTCAGTTTTATTGCACAAATTAATATTAAAAAAATTAAAATTATTTGATTACAGAAATTCGCTATAACTGACTCAATACTTATTTCCCATTTAGCTCATGATAATGAGAAAGTAAGCAAAAACCATTTCAGCGTTCATTTTTATTGATATGAAATAAAAAAAAACTATAAATGGTTTGGTTTATTTTTGTTTAAAACGCCTGGCCTTAGCAACGTGTTGTCTACCTGCATGACAGTAGTTGTCAGTGTTATAGTCGTTTGAATTTCGTTAACTGCATNATAAACGAGTAGGATTTTTGTTTTTATAAAAAAAAAGACATAAAAAAAAACGTTAACAAAAATATGTCCTGCAACTTTATTGAAAATGAATCGCTTGTACGTCAAGAATAAACTATTGCTTTATGACCATCTCGTATATACAATATAATACCTCAACCTTAAAATAAATGATTAGCAGTGGCAGGTTTTAAATGATCTCCAAGAAGGTAGGAAGCCGCACCTCCTGTAGCCCCCAGCAGGGACGTAAATGGTGACGATAAAGCTGCCGCTGCAGCAGCTGCTGCATGAGAGCCGTGATGTGCTTGAAGATGACTAGATTGAGAAGATAAAACTTTGTTCGCTTGTTGTACCAGAATTGCAGTGTTGCAAGTCTGTGTACTCATTGTCCATTTGTTGTTATTTGTAACAGTTTCCTCCGATTGCTTGCCTGAAAAATAGTATATTACGTAATAAGTGATGTAAAAAGCATTTTACGCACGAATGGAAAAGTTACGCACGACGCCGCGTAGCGGCGAGTGCGTAATTCCATGAGTGCGTAATTGCATTACAACACGTATTGCGTACCATACTTTACCTACGACCACTACTTTAAATACTTAAAAACACACCGTCTGCGATCAATGCAAGATTCCTATTACGTCGTACGGTAAAAGAAGCGCACAACTTGGTAAAAAAATCGTACAGTTTTCCTAGCAACCGCCTAGCAACGGTCAATACAAACAGTATTGTATTGGCCGTTGCTAGGCGGTTGCTAGGAAAACTGTGCGATTTTTTTACCGTACGTAATAGGAATCTTACATTGATCGCAGACGGTGTGTTTTTAAGTATTTACAGTAGTGGTCGTAGGTAAAATATAGTACGTCGNAAGAGTTGAAATGTTACCGACATCAGCATGGAGAAAAGGAAATATTATGGACTGGTTACAATCGAAAAATATTGAATATACAGAAACCATGCTAAAAGTACAATTATTAAAAATTGTCCAAAGAGAAAAAGGTCAATACATTAAGTATGTAGTGGATGAGATGGCCAAAGATCGAGGAATTCGTGTACTCCGTTTACCGCCATACCACTGTGAATTAAACCCAATTGAGTTGGTTTGGGCACAAATAAAGAATGAAATCGCGCGAAAAAACACCACCTTTAAAATAAACAACGTGAAATTATTATTACAGGATGCTATTAATCACGTCACAGCTGAAACATGTTGTAAGTGTATTGGACATGCACAGAAAAAGGAACAACGTGGGATCTTGATATAACGGTAGAAGTGTTCATAGAACAAGTCATTATTCATTTGGGTGAAGATGATTCTAGTGATAGTGATAGCAACAGTGATATGTGAAATATATAATGTGAATAATGTGATATGTAAGTATTTAAATACAGGGTGTCCGGTAAGTACCTCCTAATCTCTCGGGAGTGTATAGGGGAGGTCAAAATAAAACTAGTCCTTCCTATAATTTTTTTTCCTAATGTGCCCCCTGACAGAGTTATGGGGGTCAAAGGGATACCTAGAAATTAACGTTTAGGGTTATAACTTTGAAACCACCCTGTATATTTTAATAAAATTTTCGTTTTTTTTACACATGGAGCTCTACGATTTGATTCTAAAATCAACTTTTTGCTATTATCAGGTGTCCAGAAACGGACTGGCCCTATCACAATTTTTCTCAAAATTTTGACAGAAGTAATTTTATCAAACTGAAAATATTATTATTAGATACTCTGAAGGTTTTTCTTTAAAAATGGTACTCTTTATTTATTTCGAAAAAATGAACGGTTTGCGAGATAAATCGGTTTTGAAAAAAATTGGTAACAAATACAACAATTAAAATTATNCGAAAAAACACCACCTTTAAAATAAACGACGTGAAATTATTATTACAGGATGCTATTAATCACGTCACTGCTGAAACATGGTGTAAGTGTATTGGACATGCACAGAAAGAGGAACAACGTATGTGGGATCTTGATACAACGGTAGAAGTGTTCATAGAACCAGTCATTATTCATTTGGGTGAAGATGATTCTAGTGATAGTGATAGCAACAGTGATATGTGAAATATATAATGTGAATAATGTGATATGTAAGTATTTAAATATATTAATAGTGAAGTGATTATGTGGCAGTGAAGTGAAAGTGTGACAGTGATAATATTCGTGAGATAATTATTATAAAATATGTAAGTACCTACTTAAATAAATATATTAATAGTAAACATTACAATATTTTGCGGCGGCGTAAGCCGGGTGGTGGTGGGTTATCGATGCCCAAGAGGGCATCGTTTTATAGAAAACACTTAAAATTTAAAAACAAAATGTTACTAAAATATTTTTGAAGTTTTCTCGATAAAACCTCTAAAAAATAATAGATGTTATGTTTTATTATATTTTTTCCATATTTTCTACATCTTGTTGCCTTTTACGTATACACGCCTATGGATTTTCGATCCCCGCACGCCTCATCCTCCTTACTAGTCCAAGAGCTAGCGATGAATCACTCTCTATAATTTCTACCGCGGAGTATAGTATTCAATTTAGTCTAGCTGGAATTACCAGAATGATTTCTGGTAACACAAGATAGCCAATTCCTTAATTAGTATATGAACTAGCCAACTATTTCTCTATTTGACTTACGCAAATAAAACATTTTTAAAAAAGTGCAGTTGGAAAATTTTCAGTTTCAGGTACAACCCAAAGATATGCAAGGTGCCAATGTAAAAATCGCTGTGTAAACAAAAATTGGAAATGTAGCAGCAATAAATAAACGAGTATTTATTTGTTCCCTTTTTCTAAATTGTAGGTAGGTACGTTACTTTTTTAAGACTATCTGTACTTAAGAAATGTTTCTTCATTTTTATAAAAATATATTGTTTATATTTTGTTAAAATGTTTCATATATTTAATTTTTTATTTAATAGTTTCTATACCATGTTTATGAATTTAACCAGAGACAATAGGGAAATAGTTGACTAGTTTATATACTAACCCAAGAATTGGCTTATAAATTTTATAAGTTTATTCATTATAGTTTATAAATTGACCAAAGAAAAAACGCCATTTTAGTTTCATTAATTATTTCAAGTAAATTAGCCAAGCGAGTGGGTTGGTTTATAAAGTATCCGCTAATATTGCGGAATATCCGTTTTGTATGAAAATAGCCGAAGGTTAAGTTACTTTATATAATAGCCAGCTAGTTTACAAACTAACCAAGTTTGCGCTTTAGCCGTAACATATACTGGGTGGTCCGAATTTTATGCAGAAAACTCTTTAAAATAATAGGTGTTTACTTTATAAACATAAGTCTGGAACGGCCCCGTTTTAGAGATAGTTTTTGAAGTTGTAAAAAAATAGATTTTTTGTTTATATCTCAGGAATCTATTAACCGATCTCAATAAAATTTGGTATATATAATCTATGATAGTAGGCCTTACATTCCCTAAAATATGAGCTCTAAAGGTTTAACCAACAACTGGATAGTAAAATACGTAAGAAAGGTAGGTTAACTTTTTTTTTTTTCCTAAGATTCGATGTTTTCAAGTTATTCATAGACCTATACAATCCTCTTGGGATAAACACTTCTAACACATAATATCACAAGAATATTTATGTTTATGCTTAAAAGTAAGTGCAATTTGTAAGCACAACAAAATTCTTTACACACGTTTCCACACCACTTGTGAGGTAGAATTCCTGACGCGTTTTAGTTTCACCTGGAAGCTTAATTCACTATCTTTTCAAATAAGAACAACTTAAATCAAAAAAATAATAAATGTGCACTTACCAAAGGCGAGGGGTAGTAAATTTTCACAATCTGCATATTTGGTCACAAGAAAATCCTCGTGAAATTCTGAAAGATATTTTCACACGAATTTTCTGTGAACGTGTGGCTCGGAATAATTCGCAATAAAGTTTGTGGACCATTCTTCTTGCCTACCCGTTTAAAATCACAGTCATTTCTAAACTTTCTAGAAAACCATCTATTTAAATTATTATAGGATGTTCAATTAAATATACGACGAAATAGCTGGATACAATGGATGATGTCCTGCCCATTCTGGGTGAATAATATAAGAATGACTTAATGAAAATTATATGTGGCGATAGATAGATAGAAAACCAAATGTCAATGTCAACTATAATGGTGCAGAGGGTCCAGTGTCTTGGTCTGCCAAATTGTCATATATAAACCCCCTGGACTTCTATGTTTGGGGTTATCTGAAAAGTAAAGTTTACTCTACTGTAATGTAATGTAATGAATTAAAAGAAAACCTCCACATGATATTAGCTTCAATTAGTTCCATTAATAGAAGACGTCAGAAATGTATCGATGTGGGTGGTTCGCATTTTTAACAATTGTTGTAAATACGTAACGTTAGTTTTGTTTCTTGTTTAGTTGCTGTTGCTTGGTAAATATATTTTTATTACTATTTTGATTTAAATTATTATTATTTGTAAAGATAGTAGAAGGCCTCCAGAGGAAACTAAAACGCACCAGGAACACTACTTCACAGGTGGTGTTGAAAGGAGAGTAAAAAATGTTGTTAATGTGCTTACAAATTGCACTTATTTTAACCATAAACATAAATATTCTTGTAATATTAAGGTTAAAAGTGTCTGCCACATGGGGATTGTATTGGTATCAATAACTTGAGAATGGCGAATCTTAGGAAAAAAATTCAAGTTACCTTTTTTACGTATATTGAGCATTAGAATATAAATCAGTTACAATAACTTATAAAAAAATGCAATGGCGTAGCTTTTTTTGTAAATAAGCGGGTGACCCCTGTCTAGTTGTACTCTACGGGTTAAACCTTTAGAACTCATATTTTGAGGAATGCAAGGCCTACGATTGCAGATTATCTGTACCAAATTCTATTGAGATCGGTTAATAGATTCCTGAGATATATACAAAAAATCTTTTTTTTACAACTTCAAAACCCTGTATCTCTAAAACGGGGCCATTCCAGACTTGTGTATTTATAAACACCTATTGTTTTAAAGAGATCTATCTGCCCTCGAAGTTTCCTGCATAAAATTCGGACCACTCTGTACATAGTTTAGATGAGAATTCCTGGCGATGGACTTTTTAATTTTTCAGTTGTTTTGTCAGTACTATAAAAACACTATAATGCTATTTTAATTTGTCCAATAATATCCGCAATAAATGTCAGATATTACTCGAAAAGTATTGACGTAAATGGCGATTACGAGAATTGTTGCCGATCGATTAACTTTTAAGATTTACAAGTGATTACCTAAATCTAACTGTGGGAAATAATTAATGGGCAATAAATTTTTGAACTACCATCTTATTCTACATATACGTATAGGGTAGATTTACTTATATATTTGCTGTTAAAATTCAGGCGACGCACTATGTATCAATTTTGTTTGTTTGTACAAAAATCAAATATCTTGACTCGGAGAGTAGATAAAAATATGAGCCTGGTTGCAAATGGAAGCTGAATGGATGTAGAATATGGGAAAAATATGACTGAGACGATTTTTTTTTCTATGTGACCTTCGAATGACTAGGCAAAGTCTATGTAACCCAAAAATTTTATGGATTTTTCTAATTATATCATTCCTAATTCTCTTAAAATTTATTCCAATGCACACGATTTTGCACAATTTGGCACGGCAATTCCAAATCTGGCGTCAAAAATTTTCAAAAAAAAAAAAATCAATGCTTGTAGTCAAATTGTAATAGCAACTGAGCTGTTTACCGTAATTCACTTTATCACATGTCAATATACAATTTTATATTATTTTAATCAATTAATGTCCCTTATAACTTCATCACCATCATATTATCTTTACAGGCACATGTGTATTTTGTGAAATAAAATTAATGAACGGGATATTAATCTGCTTTTTTTCTTGCTGAAGATAGCTCTCTACCCAAATATATACAGGGTGATTCAAAAAACCGCTGACAGACTTTTAGGGTAGATAATACATAAAAAAATTAAGACGAAAAGTTTTAATAAACATAGGGTCGCAAATGCCTCCTTAACGAGATACAGGGCGTCAAAGTTTCGTAGAGACTGGGTCAACGTGACCCTTTTTTAAAAATATTTTCTGCGCCACTCCTAATTTTGTCAAAAGGGAGTGGCGCAGGGAGGGAGGGGAGGGAGGGGGGATTTTCGTGTAAAGTGTTCAATTGTCTATCGAATTGGTCTCTTGCAAAATTTGGATTAAAGCAACCATTTTTAAGAGAAAAACCTTTGTAGAAAATTTGTAAATCCAATTTTATTTTCATTCATTTTAGTTTCGCATAGTAGGCTTGTGCTATTCAAAATAAAATTAAACATCGCCTGTCACTAATGTCAATGTGTACAAGTGAGTTAAGTAAANGCTTAACAGTGTCAAAAAGCTTGGAAATAATACCGACTTTGGAGAGACTTTGCTAGCGTTAGAAAAATGATAGAAAATTTTTGACGCCAGATTTGGAATTGCCGTGTCAAATTGTGCAAAATGGTGTGCATTGGAATAAATTTTAAGAAAATTAGGACCGATATAATTAGAAAAATCCATAAAATTTTTGGGTTGCATAGACTTTGCCTAGTCATTCGAAGGTCATATAGAAAAAAAATCGTCTCAGTCATATTTTTCCCATATTCTACATCCATTCAGCTTTCATTTGCAACCAGGCTCATATTTTTATCTACTCTCTGAGTCAAGATATTTGATTTTTGTACAAACAAAAAAAATGATACATAGTGCGACGCTTGCTTGTCTAACAATTCGCGAACTGAGCACTGTCCGATACTGCACATTACCCGTTCCTACACAACTCTCCCCTAATGCGTATGCAAAAGATGGTATTTTTTTGGTAAAAGCTTATTTGTTCATTTTCAATAATTTAAAAAGTTCCTGCGGATCCAGCCCTGTCGTTTCCGCTATATTCTGAACGGCTGTCCTGCAATAAATGCAGGCTGAGCAGGCTGGCAGTGTAACAGGACGACTTCCCGCGCGCCGTTCTGACATTTAATCTAGAAAATTGCCCGCTGCCGCTCATTTATTTCCATTACTGTCAACTCTTTAGTTGCTGCTGGTGTACTGGAGGATTCTCTAGAACCAGCAATCTGATGTCATATTACTTGATAAGAAGTTTTTACTTTAGTAGTGAGCACTTTGGAAGCCCCTGTAAGTGGAGATATTTATTACTAAAACAATAAACCTTGCCTGAGATTATAACGTTTCCAGCAAACGGAAATGACTTGAATTAAATAAAGTTTAGCTGATCTGCACACATACATATGTGCCGTCATCAATATGACGACGTGTGCAACTAAAAAAAAATAATGTAGATTTGATTTATGTTCTCCATGTTCTACAACCTTATGGTCTTACGAAATGATTTATTTTTTGTTTTTTATCGTTCTCTTCAGTGGTTATATTTTATATCCTTTCACTTCTGATACCAGATTGTGACACTGTTTAATGCTGAAGGGTCGAAAAACTAACAGTTTAATACAGAACATTACGCACTATGAGATCCCCGTTTTTATCGGAATTAAAAAATAAGATAGGTATAGACGATAATAATGCCAAAAATACGTACGTACATATACAATATGTACCTTCGTTTTCAAATCTAATAAAGTACTTTTTTTTATTGGATCCAATTATGTGCAATAACTTAATCTTAGTATATGTTTATAAACATAAATTTTTGGACATTTCCATAAAACTGTCATATACCCCATGAAAATACTCAAATCTTCAATTTTGGAAAACGTTGCATTTCTGCACTGCGTTGATTAAAACCACTATTTATAGGCTAGGAAAAAGAACTGGGAAATGATCATTCCGCGACTTTTTCTTTCGGCAAGCTGAATTTATCTTTATAGATGCTAAATATTATGTACAACAACATATTTGTTTCCACAGTCATAAATATGGGGGGGGGAGATTGTTTACAGGGTGGTGAATTGTATAATTTTTACGTAAATTCACGTTTTTCGCTTATAACTTTTTTCCGTTCACTTCCACGAGAAAACAGTAATGTACTTTTTTTTCATCTTCAAAAAACCTACAAAACTAGCCCTCGAGCGTCAAAAAATTTTGATTAGATCAAAAGTTATAAACAGAAGAAGTTTATTTATGACTTTTGAAGTGCGTTATTATTACCAGAACGTTTTGACATCGCATCCTCTCATTCCTTACCACTGTCTAATAATTTGCACGAAATCTGGAATCGGTAAGTTGAATAGTTTACAAGTTATGGCCTTATAAACAAATTAACTAATTATTAGTTTGGACGATCCCGAGCATCTTCCATAATCGCACTGATTTTTTTCATAGTAGATTTCATAATAACACATACACGTGAAATCTATATATATTTTTTTAATTTCAAATTAGCAACCTGGAAAGTTTTTTTATTTTTTAGCCTTAGTTGCAAAATGAAATATCCGACGCACGCGCGTGATATAGTTATAATTACATATGTATTTGGAAAGCTTATGAAAAGAGCTTTAAGTTAAAAAAAATCGTCAAGATTTGTTAAAAAACAACGGAGTTACAGACTGTCAAAGTTGACGGCCTTTTGTTAAACAAATTAGGTTGGTAGCGGCAAAAAGAATATTGATTTATCGATTACTTTCCCAGATAAAAATATGTTATTTCTGGAAGTACCTATGTTAAGTGCATAAGAAATATTGTCAAAAGTCAGTGGGTCGCTTGATTTTTCGGCGAACCGTGGCGCGGCGGAAGGGTGGGGTAACGACAGCGAGTCCGAAGAAAATACGATAATATTCATATTCCTGCCGTTAAAAAAGCGAAATTCGCTTGAAAATAATATATTTGACAGTCTGTAACTCCGTTGTTTTTCAACGAATCTTGACGATTTTTTTTTAACTTAAAGCTCTTTTCATAAGCTTTCCGAATATGTAATATATAATTATATCACACGCGTGCGTCGTATATTTCATTTTGCAATTAAGGCTAAAAAAAATTTCGAGGTTGCAAATTTGAAATTTAAAAAAAAATTATAGATTTCAATGTATTATTATGAAATATACCATGAAAAAAATCAGTGCGATTGTGGAAGATGCTCGGGATCGTTCAGACTAATAATTAGTTAATTTGTTTATAAGGCCATAACTTGTAAACTATTTAACCGATATATATCCGATTCCAGATTTCGTGAGAGTTATTAGACAGTGATAAGGAATGAGGGGATGTGAGGCCAAAACGTTCTGGTATTAATAACGAAGTTTATAAATGTTTAATTCAAAAGTCATAAATAAATTTCTTCTGTTTATAACTTTTGATCTAATCAATATTTTTTTACGCTCGAGGGCTAGTTTTGTAGGTCTTTTGAAAACGAAAAAAAAGTACGTCACTGTTTTCTCGTGGAAATGAGCGGAAAAAAGTTATAAGCAAAAAACGTGAATTTACGTAAAATTTTACAATTAACCCTGTAAACCCCATTTTTATGACTTGTACATAATATTTAGCATCTATAAAGATAAATTCAGCTTGCCGAAACTAAAAGTCGCATCCAACTCTATATTTACAGCTTACTACTATTTTTCCATTTGCACAGTCAGAATAACAAAATAAAGTACTAACGTTTCCTTTTCTTTGCTTTATGGTGCTACTTCTGGGGTACAAAATGTGGTTCTGTTCGTTCTATGACATTTTGATTTGTTATTTTTAAAACTATTACTTATTTACTTTACGTTACTTACATACTTTTGATATGTATATCAACATAGTTGAAACATTGTTCAAAAACAGTGTTTGAATAAGGTTACCCAATGAACAAATGTAAAACAACTTACCTGTACTCAATGGCTTAATATCTCCGTTGGAATGTTGACTAGACAAACTACTGGTATTAGAATTTGGTGTAGTTGATACACTAGAATGGGGAGAACCGGGTTTAATATCTTTAGTACTACCCAAAGAATGTTTTGAATTTCCATTTGTTTCCGCCTTGATGTTAGTACTTGAATTTGGACTTTCACCATTGATGTTGGATGCTTTTTGCTGAGCTAATCGCTCTTGCTTGCGAAATTTTGCTCTCCTATTTTGAAACCATACCTACGAGTATAATTATATAAAATACATTTTTCGATACTTAAGCGTATTTTATACGTATATAGAGAAGAAATTGTAATATAAATATGAAAATTAGTATATTTCAGTTTTCGATCTTCCGGTTATAAAGAAGACTACAAATATTTTGTTCAAACACTCTGTTATAGGTATACATATATATTTTTTAAACTTATAAAAGAAGAAATATCATTGGATATATGCGTACTGTTCTGCATTCGCAAATGTATGTGCTCAGTAGATAAGAGATTTTTTATATTCTGTTAATAGTTAAGTAGGTACTATTATCGTCTTACCAATGAACATATCAAATTAATATATTTTTTAATATGACTCTAAATTAATTTTTGCATGAAGTAACGCAACTTGCGAAGTTGTTATATTCCATCTTGGTAAGTTTACCGCCTTAAAGGCTACAAGGTCATCGAAATTATTTTCCCTAATTTCACACATGTCGCATAAAAGTTCTCAATTTTCCCACAGTTTCTATAAAAAATCTAAAAAATTCTAAAAAAAAATCGATATCCTCTCATTCAAAATATATAAAATGAGACGTATGGGGAAAAATTATTTTTTTTCGTACTGCAAATTTCGAATAATCCGAAAATTATAATCATTTGGATACTTTAATTGCTTATTCATTTTTAAAATGAATATTTTTAAAGTAAATTTACACAAAAATAATCCAAACATGTATAATGAAAATTGACAGTATTTTTCTCTATAATTATATTCATATATTTTTTGAAAGAGAATAGATATTGTCAAATTTTTAAATAAAAGTTGTTGAGAAAATGATGTAAATGTAAAAAATTATTTATGAAGTTGGAAAAAATAATTTTATTGATGTCACAGCCCTTAGCGGTAAACTTACCCAGATGGAATTTTTTAATCAAATACTTATATCATGTCATTTCTTGCGCTTTTCATTTTCTTGTAACGCCAGCGAATCATCAGCCTTGGGTAACCCAGACACAGAAATTAAGGGATATTAAAAAAATCCCAAAATTTTGGGTGATTTTCAAAGAGCTGTAACTTGAATGGAAATGGTCGTAGAGAGAATAAAAAAAACGAAATTGAAGCTTCAAGTGTCTAGTTTTCGGATCCTGTGATAAAATTTTTTAGCATCAATAGTTTTTGAGTAATCATAAGAAAATCAACGAAACAAAAATTGCTAATTTTTGCTTTTCTTTAAAAAGGCCTATGGACTTCAAACATTTTTTTTGGTAATTTCAATATAAAGCTCTTTTATGTAATTTAATTCTCTTCTTGAGCGGTTCTGGAGCCCACGATGATTTGTCGCTGAGTTATGGTCGATCAAAGCAAAAAAATCGTGTTTAATTTTGGCAATCAATTACTCGGAAAATAATGATCGTATAGAAAATCCAAGAAGGGTTTTGAAAATTGTAAAGTATTCTCTACAAGTCGTAATTATTGTTTTTCATAAAAAAAAATCCTGATAATTTCGAAACGCTGTGATAGTTTTTTCTTAGTGCCCGGAATATTTAAATTTGTCGTTTTCTCTGAAAATCAATGTAATAAGTAATTTTTCACTTTTTATTAATTTTTTTAAGTTAACAATGTTTTTTTAGCAATAATCCAAATTTTTTCATAAAAAAAACGTTCATTATTCTAGAAAAATGAAAAAACTAATTTTCTTCAAAAATAATTTTTTTCAAATTTTTTTTTTAATGTATCCATAAACTTCACAAACTTAAAGAAAAATTTGGTTTGACGTTGCAGATCACAATTTAATATCGCATATTGCCGATCACCGATTCTAAGCGGTCTGCACCTCCGGATGTCTCGTAGCGTAATTCCTGGCCAAGTTTGTAAAAGAGCCTGGGTCAATTGATGGTGATTTTATAATTGCGGATAATCTCGTCGTCATCGATGCCCGAGCTTGTCCTAAACATGCCCAATGGGGTTCCAGTCGGGACTCATAGGTGGGTGGTTGAGAGTTACCACGTTGTTGGCGTGAAGAAAATTTCTCGTACGTTTTGCTGTATGAAGGCGAGCATTATCCTGCATGAGAATGAAACGATTTCCCATGAGCAGGACGTGTGGTTCAAAGATTTCGGTGATGTACCTTTCGGCAGTCAATGTTCTGGGAATAATTACCAACTGAGTTCTGGTATTAATGGATACGCCTGCCCATACCATAACGGAATCGCCATGGTAGCGACAGACGATTTCTCGTTTGGCGTCGCCGTGGGAAGGTGATACCGATAATTTCACACGGCCAGTTACGGCTTTTAATGATGGTTCAGTTATGGTATGGGTAGGCGTATCCATTGATACCAAAACTTAGTTGTTAATAATTCCCATCATTGACTGCCGAAATCCTTGAACCACATGTCCTGCCCATGGGGAATTGTTTCATTCTCATGCAGGATAATGCACGCCGATAATGCTTCACGCCAACAACGTGGTAATTCTCAACCACTCATCTATGAGTCCCGACTTGAACCCCATTAGGCATGATGAGGACATGCTCGGGTGTCGATAACGACGAGACTATCTTACAAAATCATCATCAATTGGCCCAGGCTCTTTTACAAACATGGCAAGGAATTACGCAACGAGACATCCGGCGATGCATTAATATGCCAGACCGCTTAGAATCGGTGATCGAGAAAAAGGCGGTAATACGCTTTATTAACTTGTGATCTGCAACGTCAAATCAACGTTTATGCAGCCTGTGATACTTATAAGTTGGTTGTACATCATGAACCATGCTACTTATTTACCAAATTAGTTAAAGGTTCCTATAATACTCGCCGAAAATCCTTAATTTTTGAGGTCGTTTTCTTACAATTGTATTAAACAACTTAATAAACTTCCAAAGGACATTAGGTCTGCATTTTCGTTTCGTAATAGTGTAAAACAGTACTTAATTTCTAAGAAGAGACTGTAGAATATACAGGGTGTTCCTAAATGTCATGTACATAAAGGAGGGGGTAATTCTTTGGCTTATTTCATGATTAAAAGTTCATATAAACATAGGTCCGCAAACGCTTCGTTACCGATCTACAGGGTGTTGAAATTTTAAGATTTTTTTAGTTTTTTAGCTTCCACAGTTTTTGAGATATTTAGCTGAAATTTGGAATATAGGTTACGCTGTAGGGCTTGCATCATTGGACATGCCAAATGATCGTGATATTCTACAGAGTGATATTTTTTCGGGGTTCATGTCCCATTTTCTTCCCCTGAACTTTTGTGCGGTGCGCCGCTGGTAGATTCTAAAATTAAAATTGGATTTTATGTTTTGTTGAGAAACTTTTTTTTCTCTTATGATTTTTTCATATCTGCGACCGTTATCGAGAAAAAAAATAAAAAACGATTTTATGTAATTCGTTAGTTGAAATTTAAATTCTTAAAATGGTCTAGTAGACTCTGGCTTTATTTAGATAATCTCTTGTTTCTATTAATTTTGACAGTTTATTCGCCACTACCTGTTAAAAATTAAAGCTGGAATGACCCATTTCAAAATTCGTAAAATTTGGCATTGTTATGAGATTATAATGAGTATTTAAAACATTTTTACACCTTACAGTTTGTAACATAAACCTTTAATTTTTAAACATATGCAGACCTAAGATACTATTTCAAAATTAATAGAAACAAGAAATTATCTAAATAAAGCCAGAGCCTACTGAACCATTTTAAGAATTTAAATTTCATCAAACAAATTACATAAAAATCGTTTTTTTTTTCTCTATAACGGTCGCAGATACGAAAAAATTATAAGAGGCAAAAAGTTTTCTCAACAAAACATAAAATTAAATTTTGATTTTAGAATTTACCAGCGGCGCACCGCACAAAAGTTCAGGGGAAGAAAAGGGAACATGAACTCCGAAAAAATATCAGTCTGTAGAATATCACGACTATTTGGCATGCCCAATGATGTAAGTCCTACAGAGTGAACCTATATTCCAAATTTCAGCTAAATATCTCAAAAACTGTGGGAGCTATAGAGAAAAAAACTTAAAAAATCTTAAAATTTCAACACCCTGTAGTTGTAGTTGGGTTTGCAGACCTATGTTTATATGAACTTTTAGTCATGAAATAAGCCAAAGAATTACCCCCTTCCTTATGTACATGATATTTAGGAACACCCTGTATATGTACATTTTTTTGTTTTTTTTTTTGTATTATTTTTGTTTATATTAATTCAGCGTGTAGATTAATTGTACGGTAGCGTTTCTTCTTTGTAATTATGCTTAAAATGTATGGTTGCGTGGAGTGAGTAATCGTGAGCAATCAATATTGAGATCTTTGGATGCCTGAAATGAGAAGAACCACGGAGGCAAGTATACACACACACAATTGGGAAAAGTGGCATTGCGGAGAATAAAGTTAGGAAGATAATTAGCAACAAGGAAGTGTAAAATGATCTCAAATACGATTATTATTCATGTATGTGTATCATGAAGAAAAAGGGGGAATAATTCAAATAGCCAATAATGTAGGCAGATAATGGAAGCCTAGGTGGTTCCAGGGGATATTCCAGCCAATTTTACTATATACAGGAATAAGTTAATTCCAAAATATAGCATATTTGCACGTGATTGATAGTAAAACTAAGTTGTTTTTGAAATAACTATATTAATCTAATTAACTATATTAATAATTATTAAATTATTATATTTAAATATTGAAAAAAAAAATTGTTTTATTAACAATATTTTCATTACTCTTACAAAGTGGATTACAAAAGAGCCTATATTTTTAAAATGATATGCTCTTTCAATCAAAAAATACTTTTTTAATATAGAATAAGATAAAAATTCAAAATATCTTAGAGTATGATTATTTTGTAAGTAAAAATGTAAAAAATAATTATTTTCTATTGAAACGCATTTTGCAAATTAAAGTTCAATGTTTATAAAGAATTTTAATATGTACTCCACTGAACTCATTTTCTGTCTTTAGTGAATTTTGTGTTAATCACTGACTCCATTGTAAATTTGGTTGCCTAACAA